ACGTGACGTGATTTTCATTGCGTCACTTATTTTCTGATGAATATCAGCTTCATGACAATTTTCAGCTCTCATTACTACTGATCTGTCTCCGCCATAATCTACCCCACATTTATCTCCCTTTCCTGTGCTGGTGATAATGCGCTTTGTTGTGCGTGCAGACTCGAGTGTGGAGGAGATCGATGCGGCCGACGTGAAGGTGCACGACGCCAAGGCTAACCGGGCAGAGATCGACGAGAATATCGAGGAAATCGACGCTTCGGCTGTAATCATCCGGTAAGTCGGTTATCTACGATCAAGGACTTCGTTAGTCTATTTGTTTCAAATCAGACGAATGGAATTATGCAAATTGAGGTTGTGTCGCGGTTGGTTAAAGGATAGCAGCAACACTGCAGATATAGATTCACTGTTATTATAACTTTGTAAGAATATCATTCCCTTATACAAATTGGCGCAGTGGTATAACTTTCTATGACTTTTAGTTAAACTCTCATGATTTTATTTCATTAATAATTCTAAGCCTTATAGCAGATAGCAGTATTTTTGAGACCGAGAACGATAACAATTCTTGTGATCAACAGACAAAAGGAGAAACGAGAAGCTCTCCGCGCCGAAATCATCAGCGCTGTCAAAGCAGGGGTAAGTACTATAATTTTCAGCCCTTTCTTCGCCGATGTTCATATTTACTACAGGCCGTCTGTGGGGGAAGGCATTCTGCCAAATTTAATACTGTTACGAAAGCAAATTGGAAAAATAAAGTAGGAGCGTGCCTTGGTGGTGTGAACAGTAGTGTTGTAAATTAGTGTGATATTTCGCTATTCAGTATCATGCTGGGCGTGGAATATTTTATTACTGCCTTATCATAGTCTAGAGTTCATTGTAACACCGTGTACTGACCATGCTTCGGTTTAGATACGCCGGTACCATAATAATGCATTCATTGGTATGATATTGCTTGCATATTCATCTAGGCCTATCGATTACGCTAATACGTTTGGTCTACATTTTCGCCTTATACACACAATTTTAATGGCAAATAGTCCCATTTCTTATTTTATTGTTATTACAACCATTACAATTGTTAACGTTATCATTGTTATTGCTATTGCTGTACTTATTATTTTTGTTATTATTGTTACTCTTATTGTTCTTACATAACTATGTAACTTTTTGAATACCCGTTTCCAATTTCATTGGTGATAATTCTGGTGGTATCAATAATTATACGAAAGGAAAGTCCCGGCAAGAATGCCGTATGCTCGTTTGCGTGTGACCTTCGCCCTCGGGTGACCCCTTACCTTGGCTAGACCTCAGCCAGACCTCAGAGCCCCACCCAACCCCGCCTCGTGATATAATACTCGTAGCATTTGCTCTTGATCTCTGTCTGGCCTTTGCCGACTCTCACCGCTGCCTCAAGGTGTCACAGGGAAGTCATAGGCCTAGAACGCCTGCATGCGACGGAAACAAGTCTAATCTTACGAAGCGTTCTCCCACTTAACAAATCATTTATTCAGATGTTAGGTAATTTTCTCTTCCTCTTTATGCAGTGTCCTCGCAAATATCATGTAAGGTGTTTAAATTAAGTGCATATTACTGTAACTGCCGCGCGAATTAAGTTGGCTAAAGTATATGGACTTTTTAGTTATAACTTTTGACGCTAACGAACTTTGCAAAGGTTGTCCAGATTTACTGATTTGACATTCCATCTCCGCCTGATTATCAAAACAGAAATATGCGTTGCGGTAACTCTAATCTTATGATTTCTTCTAGTCACGTGTGTATTATACGCCGACACACGGCTTTTGTCATGGAGTGTTTGTATGCTTTGTTAAGGGGATGGAAGGCACAGGAAAAATGAGATAACCTCTCCGTCATGGGTCAGATATGCACGATTCATTACGTGACTGCCTGGAAATAGCCTAGCTTGCTGCACAAACACGGTTAATAAATTCGAAAGTGAAAACGCTGACTTCGTTGCGATTTGCTTTTCATTTTTCAAAATCTAAAATTGATTCACATTCTAGGTTTTTGGTTTTTGTTATCAACAGGTTACGTTTTATGTTGATGTAGACTTTCTGGTTCTCGGCAGCTGTCAGTTTAGGACGTTGACTTGCATGTGAATTGTTACTATGGTTAAACGAGGGTGGTTTGTACAATTGGTGTCGTGTGTAGTTCTAGCGACATGATGTATTGTCTTGATTGCATAATAGCAGTAAAATGCTTCAGTGTACCTTGCAAATTGTATATTATTTAGATATAGACCACCTAGTGCGTTTCTTAAGCATTATGTAGGACTTGCATTGTCAATTTTTAAAGTTTTAAAACACTAGAAAGTCTTCGATTTCCATCCCTTCAAAAAAAATGACATTTTTTGCCTGTGAAATATGACCCACAAAGTAACCTTGGTGTTGTTAAGAACATTTGAGCAGACATCCTGTTGTCCAGATGTTTTTATTTAAAAGGATTTTAAATCGTTTGGACAAGTTGACGCGTTCAGTTTAAGGTAATGAAACCAAGTGTGTCTATGAATGAGCGTGAATGGAACTCCGCCGTTACAAAGGGGAAAACAGACTCTAACCGTTGAAGTGGCAGTAGTGATAGTGATAATGTCACAGTTTTTGCTACACGTGCTAATGATGTTAAGGTTGGCAGTGGAAACAGCCGAGAGCGTTACACAATGGGATTCGCTTGAAGGGGGGATGGATGTTGTAGCGTAATAAAAAGGGGGCTAGGAGGAGTTGAGATGATTATCGTCCATTGTCCCGTGAAGTGTGGATGGAGACGGAGAAGAGAAGAAACTACGAGATGGCAAACGACTGGAAGCAGGAAATAAAAAAAGATGTATGGAGAATAGAAGGGATTCCTTTTCACGACGCATGAGGCAGGGAAGGAGGGAGATAGCAAAGTGAAGACGAAAAGGAAAAGCCTGTCACAAGAATGGAAACATACCAAAGAAACTTGATGAGGGAGACGCACACAAAGACATGTGGAGGAAGTGATAAGTGCTTAAATGCTCAGAGAATGTCATGGAGTTTGTGGACGGTTTAAGAAGGGAATGAAAAAAGGAAGAAAAATGAGGTCGGAGAGAGCTCCAGCTGTGGTGTCAGAGAGCAAAGGCGACAGCGTGAATGAAAGAGCCAGGAGAAAAAACGGATCAAGTATCTCGGCAATAAGCAAGAAGAATGTGAACAAGAACATGCAGCACGAGGAAGAGCTGCTGCTATGACAGGAGGCGGACATGCCTAGCCGGCTCGGAGGGTCTCGCCAGCTCTTCTCTGCTTACCGTTAGCGCAAAATGCACTTGCCTGCTGCCTTGCAAAGCCTGCGCTGCATTTTGCATTCGTGGGTCAGCTGCGCTTGAATATGAAAATGATATTCGATAGATTTTACTGTATACAATTTACGATTCACGTTCATATATTCATTTATCTATCTATTCATTTAATTTTTACTTTGTATATCATGTTGAAAGTCAAACTGGCAAAACGTTTTATATGTATGTATGTATTATATATATATATATATATATATATATATATATATATATATATATATATATATATATATATATATATATATATATATATATATATATATATATATGGTGGTGTGTGTGTGTGGTGTGTGTGTGCGTGGAATTTTATATCGTTATTCTTCAGTGCTGATTAAAAGTAGTATGTTGTTAAATCGGGCAGATCAGAGCTCTGATTATGTTGTTCCCCTCGTCCACGCCCAGAGAACATTTCAGATAATGACCATGAATGCCTCGACTATTGCGTGCATGGACGAAGAGTAGGAAATAATTTTGCTCATGTCACTAGAGTTGGCGAGTATCACGCAAGTTTATATATATATATATATATATATATATATATATATATATATATATATATATATATATATATATATATATATATAATATATATCACTGCATATATATTTACTATATTTATCTGTATGTGTCTCTCCGTCTGCCTATGTCTGTGTGTATGTCTGTTTTTGTGTACGAAAAACGACAATCAACGGAAAGAAATGGCTGAAATCAGCCAGTAATCAGCCTCATTCTCGGCTCACGCTGAACCCTCTCGAGCTTCCCCGCCGCGGCCAAGACTCATTCTCTCGCGGCCTCAATCGCCTGATTCTTCCAAGCCGCCTCTCTCACGCCCGTCGCTACAACGTCCTTCTCATGGTCCGTTTCTCCTCCTGGAATGTTTTACGGGTCCTTTCTTCCCCCGGGGCGTGGTGGGAGCCAAGGTCGTGAGACAGAAGGATGCTCCGGGACCTTTGACGTGCAAGGTCGCCGCAAGTCGTACTTCTCTCTTGCTTGCCGCTCCCTCCACTCCTACGCTCACTCCCTGTCTTTACTCCTACTGCTCTCCCTTGCCCTTCTCTGCCCCTCCACCCTGCCCTTCACTTAGCCCTTCCCCACAGCTCCGAATCTTGTTAAAGATTGGACAGCTGTCAGCGTGTTATCCATCGTAAAGTGCCTGTCTGTTGTGTTTTATCTTTCGCAGCGACATCAGTGCCACCGCTTGTCAGGAACAATGGCACTCATATGACGCCCTGTATTGTGCACCTGTGGCGATGCATTTCGTTAGCATGCATGACCAGCGGATAACGACGTTCCAACTTACGACTTATGTCATGCATTTCAGTTATGCACCCGTTTCTTTTCGTCTTCCTTGCCTTGCTCATCCTTTTTTCGGATTCACACTTTAGGAAGTTGGTTATTACTTCCCTTTTATCTTTCCTCTGATCTCGTCACGCCCTCTCACTCTCCAGGGACCCACCTTTATCGTTATTCCTGTTTCTCTGTGCATGCTCTTCCTTCCGTCTTCACTTAACCCCTGTTTCGCGCGGGCCAGTTCTCTGCTTTTTCCTCACCTTTCTTCTTCATTCCTAAATCCCACGATTCCTTCTTTATGTAGTTTCTCTCCCTCCTCTTCTTCTTTGCCTTTTTCTTTTCTTTTCTTTTCTCTCTCTCTCTCTCTCTCTCTCTCTCTCTCTCTCTCTCTCTCTCTCTCTCTCTCTCTCTCTCTCTCTCTCTCTCTCTCTCTCTCTCTCTCTCCTGTCTTCCTATCTTCCTCTCCTCCTCTCTTCTTCTTTCCCTATCCCCCTCTCTCCCTCTCCCCTCTCCTTCTTTCCTTCTTTCCATCTCTCTCCCTCTCTCTCTCCCTTCCCCTTCTCTCTCTCCCTTTCCCCCTTCCTCCCTCCCTCCTGCCCCCCCCTCTCTCTCTCTCTCTCTCTCTCTCTCTCTCTCTCTCTCTCTATATTATATATATATATATATATATATATATATATATATATATATATATATATATATATATATATATATATATATATATATATTTATATATATATATATATATATATATATATATATATATATAAATATATATATATATATATATATATATATATATATATATATATATATATATATATGTGTGTGTGTGTGTGTGTGTGTGTGTATGTGTGTGTGTGTATGTGCGTGTGTGGTGTATGTGTGTGTGTGTGTGTGTGTGTGTGTGTGTGTGTGTGTGTGTGTGTGTAGTGTGTATATATATGCATAAATCCATTCCCCCACCATGCCCCCCCTTCCTCCAACCCTCCCTCCTCCCATGGCGGGAGCTTAA